GTTGCATTACATGAATCAAAAGGCATGCGAAGAAACATGAAAAAAACTTTGATGCTGGCAAAAAAAGGTCCTTACAGAGTGGGTTTTTACTTTCAAGTTCTCACTCATAGCTCCTAAAAAGGTACCTCACGGAGAGCAGCATTAAGCACTGTTATCGTCATTATTAGAAGGATTTACGCTGGATCCACAATTAATTGGAGCTATTAAAGAGAATTGTTTCCGTTGTCTGTGTTCAGGAAACACACTTCTAATGATAACTAAAGTTAGCTTTCATGTTTGGAAATTTAGCACACGTTTTGTAATTTAATTGCTGGGTTTTTTTTTTTAATTTTCAAATATTTTTTTATTAAATTAATTTTTTTAGTGTTTTTTATATTATTTTGATATGTTAATATTAAAAATAAAATTTTAAAAATAAAATAAAAAATTATTTTAATATAATTACAAGAAAATATTTGTGTCGTTGTATATTTTACCAAATCTCTACTCTTCAACCTATTATTACGAATTTAATTCATCTCAATTTATAAGAAATGTGTATTTAACATCCGATTTTGTATTGTTTTCATACATTAAAAATTTTAAAACGAAATTGATATGAAAAGAAAAATAAAGGAAAAATGGAAAGATACTTGTGTATAATATTATTAATGAGATCTATTATTTTTGTTTTTAGTAAAAATAGTTTAAATATATCACTTGTAAACTGTTAAGAAAAATTATTCGTTCACACAATATTACACAACAACAATAAAATAATAAACTATCTTCTACAAACAACATCTAATCAAGTTTGAAAAGAAAGAAGAACATATATATATATATATAATAAAAAGTCACTTTTTATTAGTTATTTAATAGTGAAAAAAAATGGAACATTTTAAAAACAATAGAGATAATATTGGAAATTTTTTAATTAAGTGGGTAAAACTTAAAAGTAGAAAGTCCACAGTAGAAATATAATTTATCAAAAAAACAGATTGATATTTAAAAATTATAAAGTTGAAAAAGGAAAAGATATACTTGCCTCACTATGTCAAATACAAAACTTGGAGCAAGTTATTATTTAATCCCCGTGTTTTTTATAAGATAATTAGTTAATCCCTTTTTTGTTTTTTTTATAAAAAACATGATTAAGTTCTAATATTTTCATATTTGATTCCATCTTGGTCCTTATATTTTTTTAATCACAATTAAATAGTTTTTTAGCCTAAATATCCTTCATTTGTAATCAAAATCCCCAATTTTATTTACTACAGATAAAATTAAAAAGGACTAACTTACAAAATCATAAAAAATAAAAGAGACTAAATTATAATTTTCTCAAAAAACTTAATTGTGAGTGTTTCTATGTGGAATCAAACAGTGTTTATTATGAGAAATTTTGCTCAATCTCGTGAGGACTTTAGTGCAATTTTTTCTCATGCTTTGTGAATTAACAAGACATTTTTTTTCTCATTCATTTTTTGTGAACAAAGGCGAAAGCGGGGAGATAAAAGAACAAAACCGACAAGGGAAGAAGTTGAGAAGGAAGGCGCCTCAGAGAAGGAAGATTTATAGAGAGGAGGCCTTGCTTTCGCATCACTGGCATATGTGTTTGTTATTATAATAATTTTTATAATTATAATTTAAAAAATATATTTTTAATTAAAATTAATTTGATATTTATAAAGATATTTGTTTACATGATAACTTTATTTTTTAAAGCAAATCACATAAACAATATATTAAATGATATTAAATTTAATGTTACACAATACTTTTTGAAGTGAACAATGCCCAGCTAAATTAATTTATTTTACAATGTTTATTTCTAAATTAATTTATTTTACATTGTTCATTTTAAAAAGTGACATTGTCTTCAATGTTTATTGAATAGCGTCCGACTCAGTTAAAAAAAATTATTTTTTTAAATTATGTTTTACTAGTATTTAATATTATTTAATAATACTATATAAATTAGAAAGACATTATATAATAACATAGCATTTGCAGAATTTGATTATGGTTACCATATTTTTAACCAAATATATATAAATATCAAACCAATATCAATCAAAAAATACTTTTTATAAAACAATTTTTTTCCAAACTATAACCACAAAAACTATCACAATACCAAAATTATTTTTTATAAAACAATATTATTCATATATGTTTGGTTAAAATTATGGTTAAAATCATAAAAAGTAGTTTAATGTGTTTGATTAAAAATACTTTTTAAATTAAGGTTATATATATATATATATATATATATATATATATATATATATTTAAATGTACAATTTAAACTAAAAATCATCTCAATATATATATATATATATACTGAGATGATTTTTAATTTAAATATTATACATTTAACTGCTGCTATTATATTATGAAATAAATAATATTATATATAAAATATTTTTTATTATTTCATTAAACTATCTACAATTCTATTATATACGAAATCCAATCAACAATGACTATAGTTTTTATGATTTTTTAAATATGTAATTACATCAATTTTTTTAAAAAAAAATTATAATTTCATTACGTATAAAATTTATTCGACAATGACTATAGTTTTTATGATTTTTTAAGTGTGTAATTACATCAGAAATAAAATTGAGATTGCGATCAAATTCTAGAAATATTATATCATTATACATTTTTCTTTTAATTTTTATAGAGTTATTAAATAATATTAAACATTAATTTTTCAAAATAATATAAAAATAAAAATAAAAATTAGATTTTTTTTTTTTAAGTCTATTCATGATATTTATGTCCTGTGAGCTAGCAAACCAAGCAGCTGAACACTCTTCACCTGCTCGCAAATCTCCTCTCTCCTCCATTTAACCCCTCATAACTCTACTTCATGCCACAAAGTTGCAACTCTCGCCTCTTCTCATGGCTAATGAAATCTTGCTTCTCAAACCCGCAAGACCCCAGCTCCAACCCTCTATCTCCAAACCCAATCACCACAGTCTTCACCATCACTTTCTCTACTCTTCCAGACGATCTTTTTCTAGGATGCCTCTCCAGAGTCCCTTCCTCTTCCCTCCCTTCCATTTCCCAATTTTGTCGCCGCTGGTCTCTCATCCTCCACTCTCCTTCCTTTCTCTACCTCCACCGTTTCAACCACTCCATCCATCCCACCATCTTCACCCTCTCCGCCCCCCTTGTCTCCTCCCTCCGCCTCCGAAATGGCAATGATGCCAATACCAATGACCCTTTGTGGAAAGTTGCTTCGTGTCTTCCTTTCCTAGAGTGGCACAAGTGAACAGTCGAGAGACCATAGGAGAAGGGGAGAGCTGCTGTCAGCAAACCTGTGATTGCAATGTAATTTTTCATTAGTCCCACAAACAGTAAATTAAACACTTTGAAACTGCGGTTTGCTTTAAACACAAAAGCTGTCGTGTAAACAAACACCCTCTAGAAAAAGGATTTGAATTGAACGCCGCCAATTCTTTTGGCAAAATGAATGGATTAGCTCGTGTAACACACCCAAAACCACTATCATTAACTCTAACGACCTCATTGTTTTTTATATAAAAAAATATCAACAAATTTTTTAATATTTATTTATTTATATTAAATTATCAACTCCATAATTTCCACAATTATTCAATAATTTTCCTATTAAGATTATTGGTGCCATGGATTGCGGCAATTTGTCTGTTTTCTCTCTTGTAGGAGTACTCTGTAATTCTGTTCAAATGCTTAGTTTGTGAAAATACAAGTTAGTCCTTGATCAAAGTTTAGTGCTCATCATATTTTACTTGTAGTATATCAAAGTGGAAAATTTGAACAAACCATATTATCATGGTTTTATATATTGAAATGTTTTTTTATTTATATTTTTTTATACATAGGATAAGAACCAAATTTAATAAACAAAACAAAATAAAATAGAGTGTATTTTAATATTAGCAAGAAGAAACCTCAACTTGGTTCATCTATCTTTTAATTTATCTATTATTTAATCCCTGGTATTTTAACATTTCACATTTTGATTTAAATTTTTTTTTTATATTTCAATCCCTGAAAATTAAGAACCGAAAAAAAAATATATCAAAAAATATTTGGGAGAGATAAAACTATTAAATATACCTATTTTAGCCACTAAAATATATCATCGTGATATCACTTGGCTGGTCTATTTAAGAACAGTACAATCAAAATGTTTTTTTTTCTTCTTCAAAAACTAGAAAAAATAGATTGAGATGGTAAAAAAAAATCAAAAAAAAATTATTTGGTTTAAGTTGCAATTGTCCATAAAATTTACATTCTAAATCAACAAAGATTTTCAAATCAATAATAACAATTAAAAAAAACCTAACCTTGTACATATTATATTAGAGATTCTCACTCCTTTTCCATTCCCCCTCCCCTCACCAAACCCTAACCACCAGCTATTATCATAAAAACTAGCATGGTCACCTTCCTCCTCACGACCACCATCACCCAAATCAATTGCACCTGACACCCACAACTCTCTCTAACACTCCGTTGCCATTCAAACCTCAGTCGTTGCCATTGTCAATTCATCATCTCTCTCCTTCACCAAACATAGCAGGCTAGCAGCCCTTCATCTCCTCCTCCACCAAACAACCCAGCTCCCCCCACTAATGTATCCCCTTCCTTCACCCTCCACGTCACAGACAACCCACCATTAAAACACGGGAGATTTTGAATCATAAATTAACACCAAAGTTGACCACCATTAACGGAACTAAAAAAGTATTTCAAATTTATGGAACTAATTAAAAAAGCAGTAGCTAGGTTGGAGTTTCAAAGGGGCTCGCAAAATGATGCTTGCTTCACCAGGTGTGTAAGCAAATTAAGGTGAGGTTGGGTTTTCCCAATCTGTGAACGAGGTTGTTGGATCTCTCATCTGGTCTTGGGTTTTGTCCTTGACACCAATATCCTCATTTACATGTTTAACATATTTTTATACTTTATTGTCGGTTGTGTGCTAAGATGAGAAAACCATCACCACCTTTTGAGACACCTAAAGGATAAATTCATGCCGGACGTCCAGTAAACATTCAACATGCAACAATGCAATACGATATATGTATCCCTTGTGCAAGGGAGCAACTATAAAACTTTCCGTGTCTTTTCAGCTGTAAATTTATGCAGTTGAAGCAGGTAATAACCTAAAATAAGGAGCATTCTCCTGAAGACTAAACCGAAGTTCAACAACAAAAAGGGGAGTGCACCTTTTCAAACTCTGCTACAAAGGCATCAGGATAACCTGAAAGTAATACTTCTCTTCAATGAAGAACAGTTAACGGTTTCCAGTACAACACTTTTATGCGGTTCAATGTGAGGCACCTCACTCATCAGAAGCCTTCGGAGAATTCTCTGGAGTCTTCAGAGCTACAGGTGCTTTATCTCTATGTGCAGTGACAGCTGCACGAAACTCTTCCACAATGGAACTGTCTTTGAACTTCAGTGCGAAAGTGGAAAGGCTGTCCTTACCTTCACCAATACTATTCATGCAGGCAAAAGTGATACCACGCTTGTCCATATTTGTAAGCTTCATATCAGGATAAATATTTGCATTCAGAATTAACCTGAAATTACCCCTAGCTCTCATTAGAAGTCTGGCTCTTTCAGCTCCAGTGGTAGATACATTGACCCTGAGTTCTCCCTTTCCACGCTCCTTCCAGCCACCATCGAGAAATTCAAACAACACTGAATCAGCAGAGAAAACCACTCTTTCATTCTCTTCCCCTGTCTCAACTGGAACCTCCTGCATAGATGGAAAACCAGTTCCCTCTGTCTTTGAGACAATAGATGCCAGTGAAGAACTTCCATTGTTAGAGAGGCCGAATCCAAAAGAAGGTTGTTCATTTTTCTGCCCAAACAGAGAACCAGAACCACCACCCATTACAGAGCCATCCTTTGGAAATGAACCAAAGGTGAACGAAGTAGTCGAAAACCCTGTTCCAGCAAGCCCTGTGAAAGCATTCTGGCTACTTGAAAGCTGTTGGAATGAATTCAAAGGGGCACCTTCAGAACTTTGATCAACATTTTCATTACCATTATCCTTCTTATCTTGATTTTCTGCATCATCATCTCCTGTAGCCTTTTCTTTCTCAGTCTCATCTTCCGATGGTTTCTCATTATCCACCTTCAATTCAGTTGCCTCATTGACTGTACTGTTATTTCCCTTATCTTCCGCACTCTCCTTGTCTATAGCAATCCCAGCCACTGGCTCATCAGCCTTGCCCTCTGATTCCTCACTCTTCTCCATATCTGTAGCAATTTCAGTCACTGGCTCATCTTTGGTATTTCCCTTATCTTCCACACTCTCCTTGTCCATAGCAGTCTCAGCCACAGGCTCATCAGTCTTTCCTTCTGGTTCCTTACTTTTCTCCTTATCTACAACATTCTTCTTATCTTCAGCACTTTCAGCCACTGGCTTATCAATCTCACTCTCTGACAGCTCAGTCTTCTCACCTTTACCCTTTTCAACATCCTCGCAAACATCACTTTTCCCTTCTTCTGAAATTTGCTGCCTAGTACTAACTACTTCAGTTGTGGCTACAGCAGTGCCTGCAATTGGCTCAGTAGGAGGAACTAGGCGAATGCTAGCAAATGGATTGGATGATGGAGTTGATGTGGTTTGGTTGCGACGAACTTTCACAATTCTTCTGCCTGCCAGTATCTCATCACTGGCTCTCTTGAAAGTCCCAGTTTCTTGCTCGACAGAGTCATCATCATCAAGACCAGGGTTATCTCTGGAGATCTCCCTTCCAGCAGCTCTCTTCTTTGAAGGAGGAAGGGAATTTTCTGCATCCCCCATTGTCAAACGAAGCCAAAAACCTTAAAAACTTATGAACTGTTATCTCCACAAGACAGGGTGAAGATGAATCCTGCATATCAACAGATTTTATCTCTCACCATGACTATCAAATAATTCCAAAGCACATTCTTTCTACATAAGTGACAAGTGTAGAAGGCAGAGCTAAAGTTGTGGAAACTAGAGCAACGAATGATTTAAAATCCAACTGCTTGATGTTCCATTTAGTAAGAAATGTCAAACAAACTGTCTCCCTCAATTATGTCCATAAAGTTACTAACATGGGAAGGAAACTAATAATCAAAATACAAAATTGAAAAATAAACCTGCAAATTTTTCTGCTCTCATGTATTCTAAGACTTCATTACTTAAACCCAGTAAAAGATTTGTCAATACCACTTCAGTATATCCCTAATGGAAGGTAATAGAGGGTTAAATATTCTAAATCATGCATCACAAACAACCTATGACACAACAGGAAACTGCTCTTACTATACTTTATGCATAACAGAGTCTGGATGATATTTTTATCCCAAAAATAAACAAGAACACAAAATGTCAGGCTCTTAAGACATTGATTGCTTAAACCAGAGTTACATTCAGGAAAAGGCTCAAAGCCTAGCTAGCTATCTCACATCCAACTATCATGTCCAGGATCAGTAATTGAGAAATGAAAGCAGGAATAACCTAAATTAATAATTGAGAACAGAAACAAACTTAACCAGATGGAATTTTCATTAAATCATGATAAACCTTTTATCTTCATCCCAGTTAGAAGTGTACAAATTCATAAGGAAACTCCTTCACACACAATGATTTGATCATTCCCTCTTCCCTCATAATTATAAGAATTCCATCTCAAAATTATATTAAACATCTCTAGACTTCTTTAAGATTGCCACGAACCACAAAGCATATGCGAGGATATACAGTAAAAAAAATGAATTTGAACTCTGAAACAGTCTCAGAGTTAAAATGAATGGCAGTTAAATCACACAAAACGGACAGCATATAAATGATTTGTTAAAGGTGAGCATCAGCAACTAAATAACTGGTAAAAGAAATATATTGCAAGTCAAAAGAGTGCAAAAAAAAAAACCCTAAAGGAAAATAGTTTGAATTTGAAAGAAACAAGCTACAGCTCAGCTCCATCAGATTAAAATAAAAAAAAGACCTACCTCCCCCCTAATTAATTGAAATAAAGAAAAAGGTAAGGCGAAGAATTATCAATAAAATCTCGGATTCAAAAAGAAATTCTCTTCACTTTCTTTCAATTCTCCCACCAACCAAACAGAAGGTGAGAAATAACAAAACTAACAATCTAATCTAAACCTGCAGTTCGTGAGCTGGGACACCCAACAAAAAAATAACCAAGCCACTAACAAGAGTAGAGGATACACGCACCCCACCCTAACACTCGGAACATTTGCAAGAGGAAAAGGGAAATTCTCAATGAGAAACAAACAGGCAGAGAGGAGAGAAAACAAATAAGTAGATTCTGTACGAAGAAGCGAAGGTGGAGACTTACAAGAGCTGGAGAGGAAGCTGGAGCAAAACCCTAGCAAAGGAGATCCAGACTTCAAAACGAGGAAATGGGTTTCTAATGCTTCTATTATTATTATTATTATTATTATTTTGGATATGGATTATGTCAGAGAGACCAAGGGGACCCTTTTCATTTTTAATTTTAAACAGGTCCCCTTTGTATTTTTACCTTTTATTATTCCTCTCTTTCCCCCCTTCTTTTGGTTTCTTTTAGGAAATTTGGAGTTGAATGATTATTCGTGTTTACTGGGCCGATTATTGGGCCTTTAGAGTTCAAAATCTGGAGTTTCTTACGTAACCATTTTTATTTGTGTTTTTTTTCAAATCTGACCATGAAACCTTCTTCTTCTACTTACTGTTTTTTTGTTCGGACCATTAAACCCTTTTGAATTAATAATGTGGCATCAGTATTCGCTGAGCCTGAACTTGTACTAACAATTCTTTGCGTTAAGGTCATTAAAAAAGAGTACGGGCAAAACATGTTTGAAAATATACAAGGAAACACTCAAATAATGTATAAATATATATATATATATATATGTGTGTGTGTGTGTGTGCAATAAAAATTAATATTTTACAAATTAAGTTTAAAAAAATGAATAATTTTACTTGTGTAAAATAAAAAAAATTCTTAATAAAATTTGAATGTGGTCAAATTTATAATGAAAAGGAAAAGAGAAGAAGGTTACTTATTAGATAATAAATTAAATATTATAAATAAATTTAATAATGAATTTAATAGATGGATCTAATCCTATTAATAATTATATCTGTAAAAATAATATATTATTAAATTTTTTAATTTTTATTATAATTTTTCTTATGGATTTAGTAAAAAAAAAAAAAACCCACCTAATTAATTGTAGTTGTCAGAGTATTTTATTTTGCCTCAAAACTAATCGATGATGTAACATCCATACCAAACAAGGACCCAGGCATTTGGCAGAGTGTAGCCAGATCATTGGAAATTCTGGTGTCATCCTTTTCTGCAGAAGGTCATAAATAGAAGGGACTCCATGAAGATTCACAAAAACGTAAGTGAGCGTGCGTGTAGATGCATTTTACTGCTCATCGGGCCTGCTTTAAAGTTTCTTTTTTTCCTTAAAAAATATATTAAGATAATAATTTTTTTGTTTTTTAAATTGTATTTTTAATATTAAAATATAAAAAAATTAAATATTAAGCAAATAATATTTTTTCACGGCTCAGCCTTGTTTTCATTAGATTTGAAACTACCATAATTTTTAAATTTATTAACAAAACTTTTTGTTGATATTTATATTTATATTTTATCAATATAAATTTTTCCTATGAATTCACGGATAGAAAACATTTGTCAAAAAGATTTTTATTAGTCTATTAATGAATCCATTAGTAATTACTAATGATTTGTATGAAAGAATATTTTTATTAATATTTATTAATGAATATTATAAAGGTATATTTAATTAAAAAATTCATAACAATCTACTAATAAAAATATTTTATTAGTGTATCTCTTTATATATAATAATTTTTTTGATAGTGTGAAATATCATGTGGGTGTCATTTTTTTTTATTCAACATTCCCCTCATTAGATTTAAGATATCATATTAGTGTCGATATTTCTTTATTTAAATAACACATCAATAATATTTTTATATTAATAATTGATTTGAACAATTTTAACAACAGATCTTTCAAATAATTGTTTATTTAGAATGCAAATATTTAAAAACCATAATTATATTGCCAAGCTCTTCCATACCAAAAGTCACGTCCTTTTAATATATATTCTTAAAGTTTCTTTGAGTTTACACCGAAACTACTACTTTATATAATTACTACGTCCGCGTTAAATAAATTTTTTAAAATGTAAAAAAATATTAAAATTATGAATAATTTTTTAAGTGTGTTATTAAACTTAATTTATTGAGTCAATCTTAAAATTTTGTAATTTAATTTCTACTTAACTCGAATTTTAAATTAAATTACTTAAAAATTGATCAAAATAAAATTAATTGATTTCACTAATCAAAATACAATTTTGATAACTAGTAAAAATATAACTTAACTTTTAATAAAACTTTAAAATAATAATTTTTTTCACAAAAACTATTGAGACAATAATATATTATATTGATTTTAGTCCCCAAACAAATCATGTCACAGACTTCATTAAGTTTAATAAATTTTTTTTTATAATTATATGATAAAAATATATAATCACAAAATTAAACGTCAATCTAAAATAAAAATTTATCTGAGACATTGATAACCTTAAAAAAACAAAAAAAAAATATTGTAATTTATTTCTTAACTAATCCAATATTGATAAAAAAATAAAAAAATAATTAATAGAACAAAAACTAAAAAAATATATCCAATTTATAAGTGAGTTCGTCAAACCTATGAATTAAGTAACTCAAGATAGCACACAAAACTTGTAAACCAAGTTATGAACTCCAGCAAAATTATTTTATTTTCAAAACTATTTTTTATTTAATTACACGATAAAAAAATATAATTAAAAAATAAAACATCCCTAATACCGAGAAGTTGTAAAAAAATAGACAATAAATGAATATTGAAATATTTAACTTCATAATACAAGCAATTTACCTTATTATATTTAATAAAATTTTCTATCAAAAAAAATTTATAATAAAAAAATAAATAAAATTTATACTAAAAATCAACACACATAAAATTTATTGAATATAAAAAAAAATACAAGGTTACATATATTAAAAATCTTTTTTTAAAAAATTAATATTAAAAAATTAATCTATATGATCTTTTTTAAAAAAAACACACATGATATTATTAAGAAAATCATCACAAACTAGCATAAACCCAAAATTTATTTGAAAAACAAATATCAACTAATGTATTTTTTTAAAAAAAATCAAAATAAAAAAATAAAAAAAAAGGAAAAAAATAGGCCAAACTATTAGATCTGTAGCCCAGACCTAGCATCTAATCCAATTAAACAACATCCAGCACATGGTCTATATATTTTTACAAGTTTAATTGGTTCATCTCTAAAATCTAGCTAATATGATAGCAGGAAAATTAATATTCTTTGTTTATTTATTTAAAACTTTATTTTCAACAAAACACTGTAGAAATCTTGTGAGACAAATCCGGCCACAATAAAACATAAAAAATCACCTTAAAACTCAAAATCCAACTAATTTTCATATGTTGAATTTAATCAAAACTAAAATTTAAACTTAATAAATTAAGCCAAAACCAATTATAAGTTATAACCAAAACAGAATATAAAACAAGAAGTTAAATTTATTGTTACAGGCTATTCAAGATAGATAAAGTTCATCATCAGGTTTCAAAAATCTCAACACACCACCCCAACCCGCGACATTTATTTTTTAGATTTTTCACCCTGCAAAATCCACATTATCTAACTTACGAGTTGAAACATATTGAATAGTGCAAATAATACAGATAAACCAGTTTTTTAAACACCATTACCCTATTTATAACACATTTCATTTGCATCAAATAGGATTTCAGGGAGCTTAAACAGGTTTTAAGCCAAATCACAGTAGTGCATTTTACACAGCTATTGATAACAAGTCGGATTTATCTGCGCAGCATTTCGACATCTATTCATCAGATGTAAGAATCATTACATGGAAGAACCTGGCAATTATTGATAGAGTGCCACCAACACCCTCGCATGAGCACCAGGAAAGGAGCCACAAACAAAAATCATGTTTCTTCAAGTATGTGTACATGGCGAATTACACACGTAAAAAATTCTCAAAACACAACAAGAATACCATTGGGTTTCAAATAAATAATATTCGAGGCAAAAGGGAGTCGGATGAGAGCAATCTCTAATTCAACTTTGTACATTCACAATAAGAAACTTCAGGAATATGAGGGCCTCAAAGAATATGCTAAACATCAACAATTATAAACGAAACTAGGAATCCTTTATACTAAATCTTCCATGACAAAATTCAATGCGCTATATAGCCACACCACCTGGAAAGAGACAACCGATCCCTATAATAACCTTTTTTCAAGCATCCAGCAAGAAACCTGAGTTCACCCAAGAAGATAAACAATAAAGGGGGAGGAAACCACCATTTTAAGTAAATTTGCTATCATTGAAAAATAGAGCCGATATCTTTTAAGTTACTCTGTTCTTTAAGCATGTAGCAAAGGTAAACATTTACTGCATTTCATCGTCATGCAACTATAAACCAAAAATCAATCATAATTCCAAGGCAATAAAAAAAAATCACCACATTTGAAATGTTCTGAAAAATCATCATCAATCTCAGCAATGAGGAGGCCAAATTGACAGTGCACAATCAACATAAATGATGCTAAAGTGCCCTATCCAAAACATATTCGAACTTTCTGCCGGATCCCACTCTTGTGGAGTTTCTTCAATTTTTTCCACCAAACAAGCACTCTGGTTGCATACCGATGCTCTGTTCAAACTTGTTCATCTCTCTATACAAACCTATCCATTATATCTAAAGCATGCTTTGCTCACCTTACGGGATTAATACAGCTGGACCGATTGACTTGAAAGAAGACCTAGTGATGTGGTGTAAGCACTGCAACAAAATGGGTAAAGGAGTAAGGACCAAGATGCCATATACCCACCCACTCAAATCACAAATGACTCCACTAAAAGGAAAACAACTTTTTTGAAAACCTCAACAAGATAAATTTGAAATTTTCCAAACGTCAAAGAGAAGAGCCAAAATGCAAGCACATATTGTAACAAAACTAGAACCAACAGCACATGGAAATCACAAGGAGTGGATAGCTAACATAAATTCAACACTTTTAAATCTAACAGCAGTGGTTGGAAGTAGTCTAACACTCCTAGAGATGTTTTTAAGTAGTAAATAAATTCAAGTCAGAAATTGGATTGGCCCTCAACTACCATATGTTAGATGCATGCTTGTTCAAAAATGAATACATGTAAAGAGTAATAACAGCTAGAACTTGCAAGGCTAAGACCCAGTCATCGGTCAGAAAACTAGCACCACCTGAGCCTGACTAGACCTAAACTTTGTGTCAGATATTGGTGAGCCAGACAGAAATAGTGCTAGCATAGCACCTTGATAAAACAAAAACAAATATTTTTTACTAGTTGTGGTAGTGGTAGAAAAAATAACATGTGAGATCGGGAGTTAGAGATGGCACTTTAGAATCAATTAATCACCAGAGACAAAATTTGGATTTTCACACTGCCCCAACCAGTTTGCTTTTAGGCTGACGGGGTTTCTTCATTATTCGTACCCCACTCTTCCTCAGGTTCGTTTCCATTAACAAGTACAGCACCATCTGTGGAATCTGCATCCACCACAACTGCTTCCTCTTGGCTCCCTTCTTCACCATTCTGTTCCTCGGCATTATGTTCGTCTCCATTCTGTTCATCAGCCTGTGATGAATATAGTTACATGTAAGGATAAAAAAAGGTCAAAATCTGAAAACCATAATAGTTAATAATGCTTTATTGCACCCCTAATTTTAAGGAAAATCAAGAATTTATAAACCACTTGAACATCAAACTCCTTAAAAGTGAGCTTTTGTGAGGTTGAAGTAGGTTAAATGCACGGCATTGATAATTAGGATATAGATTTCCTGGCAGAGGAAATGCAAATGCACATCTCATAACATCATCATAACCTTAGCATAGATGGAATGAAGAAAGGCAGCTGAATATGAAAAGGCGATTCAACACCCAATTGACAAAATACCTCATGATCAAAGTCTCCATTTTCAAGAGGTTCCTCCTCTTCTACTTGCATGTTTCTGAAAGCCTCCACGAGGGTGATGTGAGGTTTATCAGCATGGTATTGGTAGTCCTCTGCAGGAGGATGCACACCCCTACAGGAGCACAGAGACATCAATAAACTAGTAATTCAAAAATTCACATTAAAATCATGAGCTCCCTTGTAACTCTTGGGATATTGTCCCAAATTATCAATTCTAGGGAATTTGGAAAGAAAGATTCTTGTTCAGCTAAACTAATCAGTTATGCATTGCAACTAGTTAAGAAGAAACATTTCATTCGAAGACAATATCAGCCATGATGTGAATTCATGGTGTACGCATGTGTGCCCTACAAAAGTACCTTGTCCCTGCAGCTCTAGATTCGACAGATAAAGCAACTTGCCAATCATCAAACAAATTTGGATATTCTTCAGGATCAGCCAGAGATTCTGCAGCTTTTGGATTGACCTATAAAGAAATACAAACTAGGACTTACAAGACTCCTGATATGCATGTTTCAAAAATTATCTAGGGACATGTTAGCTTTATTTAAGAAAAAAAATAATTATTGTGGAAATCTTGAATAGAATAACAAGGAATATATATTTATATATCAATAATAATAGAATAACAGACATAATTTTTTTAACTGGTAACTAGGGTTCTTTGTATAACAGCCGAGTGAGGTGGAGTCCGGAGAAAGTATTTCTCAGGGAAACGAAACATAATGAATTATAGCCCATCACAAGCTATCTCAGGCAAGATTTACAATATAATGTTGCTTGAAGTTGAATAATTCTCTCTCTTGAACTAATTTGCTTGAAGCTTTTTGATTATGTAAACCAATGGAAGCATTGCTCAATAAGTAAGAAACTAATTTCACATACTTGGATACAGGTAGAAAAGGAGAAGGGGAAGTTCATACAGACTTGCCAGGGACCCTAGGTATTCTAAGTGAAACAAAAACACAAGATACCTTGTTCAGGTCTTTCCTCCAAATTGCAACAATCTCTGAAACCTTGCTGGGAAGATAAGATCGTGCCATCAAAGCAGCCTCAGGTATCCGATTGCTGGCAGAATAATGCTTCAGTATCTCAATTTGAAATAACCTCCATTCTAATCTTAAGTAGTCAAAAGAAAATTACCTTTCCACCAACAACTGGAGGCAGTCTTCAACGTTGCCCAACATGAACAAACACAGGAATGCAACATTTATCTTCCCCTGTTCTTTTGCCAAGGATTCAAGCTTTGATATCCCTTCAGCATCTCCTAAGGAAGAATATAGTAGCAGCAAACCACTCAAGTCTGTTGCATGCCTCATGCATTCCTCAGCCATTTCCAACTGCAGCACAATAACTCAAAATAAGATATAATCAGAGCAAAACTGTAACCCAGAATGCTGCCTGAAATAAGTCTGTTGCATGCCTCATGCATTCCTCAGCCATTTCCAACTGCAGCACAATAACTCAAAATAAGATATAATCAGAGCAAAACTGTAACCCAGAATTCTGCCTGAAATGTGACTTGGAATCAACCCACGGAGCAAAAAAAAAAGAAAAAAACAAGATCTAAAATCCAACAAAAGCACTGGTTTGCTGTGTTATTTGTCCATTTATTCATGAAGGTTGTTAAATCAAACTATTTCATCTGACTGGCCTAACCTCAATCAAAAACAAAGTACACAGACTATTATCATTTCAAGCAGCTGCTCCAAAGACCAAGTAATTTTTTTATGGGTTAAGTGGGAGAACAATTCTTCATTCTGTTATCCATCTCATCATACAATGTACCCAGGGTGGATAAGATATTATGTATTAGTTTACTGCAGTGAACACCATAATTATATCTGGCAATTAAATGTCTGTTCAAGTAACGCGATACCTTTCCACTGGACATGGCCAACTCTCCCAACTGTTTCCACTTTGACTCACTCTGCACTTCACTGGCAATTTCCTATAAAAGAAAGACATTCAGAGCAGACACAAAGTTGTCATTTCATCCAAAGGAGATGACAAATATCAAGAAGACAAGATAAAAACATGAAAATGAAAAAAAAGCTTCCATGACTAATTGCGTAGTCCAACCAAAAGTAGAATCAATTGACCTCACCTTCGCAACCTCTAATCTACCAAGCTGAATAGCTAGCTCAAATCTGTAATCAGGGTCAGTAGCTACTTCCAGAGCATCCTCTATCATGCCTCGTGATTCCAAGAAACGAGCCACACTAGCAATCAAAGTTAATTGTCCATCAGAAAATAAACACTTCAACAGCCAAACTTCACAACTGGTTAACTAACAACAAATAAGGCAAATGAAGAATTATGAAATTCTATGAAACATTTATAAAGGGAAAGGGAAAGCAAATAGCCAAAACCCTGTAATCACATTTCAATCTCTTAACTTGGAAATTGCAAGAACATTCAAAACACAAACACAAGTTGGGTATGCTGCTAGGCTGCACAAAAAAAAAATTGTACACAACGCATACCAACAGAAAAAATGCTTTTATTAAAAAAAAAAGGAAAAAAAGCCTACAAAAAATAAAAATATAATATAAATTATCATAAAATGAAGAAATTAAGGAGAATCTAATCGTAAAAACATGCTACTATTTCTATTTTGTAATCATTTGACAAGCATGTAGCAATGTTGATGTTGAACACCCAAAAATACACAGTATTTCCCAGCAGCCAATTGTAAAACCACTCATTTTGCAGAGGACAAATGTAAATATCGATTTGCCAAAAATCTAAGAACAAGTAAACAGGATGAATACCTATTATGGTGTTCTTTAGGAATTGAAGGTAAAACTTCACTGGCCCTCTCCAGATCTCCCCGCATCACCAGAGTCTTGTACTCAATTAAGCTAAGGAGTAAAGTGTACCCCATGACACTGCATGAAAACCAAAGAAGAAAACAGCAAAGAAAGGTTAAAAGAACAATAATTAGATCATGTAACTTCCAAAAACGAATATGAAAAAAACACCTACTTGAATTCTTTGTCTATCAAATACACCCGACTTTGACTAGCAAGGTACCCTAGTAAGTACATGGGACGGTCCAGATGATACATAGTGGTTACCTAAAACAATTGGTTTAGCTATCAATACAGCAACATCAAATATGCGGAAACGAGTTGTATCTGGATTTAGGAAATGCTGTGGCAAGCACAAGGATGCAAAGTACCTCGCCTCCAACACAATAATTAAGCCTCCAGGAGGAGTTGTTATAAATAAAACAATCCCCAACCCATAAGCCAGTTCTGACACGTTCATTGGTTTCATGAAGAAGCTCAAATGCATCCTCAACACCTTGTTCATCCACAGGTTTTCCATTATCTAAATAAGATGAAACTATCTCACGCTGCAAAATTAAACAAACATCATTTAAAATAAATGTATGCAAAATGAAGGCAGCAAGTGAATGTACAGACAATTCAAGAAATCCCAGAGGATAATCTAATAAGGAGCCTCACATTGTATTTGAGGATGTAGAATGACGTATCACTAGCAATAGCCACTAAATCTCCACTGTCGGCCCAAAAGAGATTCTGATATATTCAAGATCAAGCATTAATAATTACACAAGGAATAAGGTATGCAAACACCCATAATATTGGAGAAACATCTGGTCTTACTTTCACAGTAACATCAATTCTCCTAATCAACCTGCATTCAGCCCAGTCATAGAAACAAATGAAATCATTTGAGCACATAGCCAACAGGGTTCCTCCGTGAATACGCTCAGCTGAAAAGGTTGGCCGGATGCTCTTCTTTTCCTGAAAGAATTTACCATCATTTGATTCCATACTTTACATAATAGTAAAGAATTTATATAGCAGCTAGATTGATGAGTTTTGAGAATAAAAAACAATTCTGTTAGCCCCCAGGAAATATAAGCCTGAGCATGATTAGACAAATCACAAGATGAACCGGGAGAGCATTACTAGTGGCTCTGGAGATGAATGTTCAACAATTTTCCTCAAAGAAGATTGGCATATTACATTTCTTTTCTATACAGGCCAGATTGTCAAAAAATTTCCACTTCTCCAGAACAAAACAATAATTTAAGAGAAAGCATGAAATAAGCTAAGAGTGTACAAACCTGGAAATTTTTACTGAAAATCTTAATCTTTGATGTACTTTCTCTAACAGCATATTCACCATCAGCAGACCAAACGAATTCAAGTGCAGAACCAAATGATCTGTTTCTCCATGCTAAAGCTGTATATATGATGTACTCACCATCCCCGCAGACAACAACAAACCTCCCATTGGGATTGTGCTTTAAGGTCTGTAATATAAGTGTGGAAGAAAAAGTACGTCACCCATGTACACAAATGTACATTTCAAGATAGATTATAAAAAAAATAAAAAAAATAAAATTCCTAGTTTACTCTCAACACCATTAATGCTATGTCTATGCATGTTACAAGTTTCCCTTCCACCTTGAAAAACTAGTCCATGATACTATGCATATACATGTAACAAGGAATACTCCCACAAAAAAATGGAAAAAGGAAACGATGCGAGGGACCAAAAAAAAAAGGAATTTGTCTACCAAGCATCTAAATTGAGTTTAGGAGACATTTTGCAGACTTTATGTCCTACCAGGAAAAAATGGCCAACTGCTCTGGGCTGCTACATCAATTGAATTTTCTTAAACCAATGAATAACTCTTAGAAAGAATGTTAAAAAAAGTCTAAAAGATGTTACATTAACCCTGCTGAGATGCATGAAGAAATTTATTTAGCTTTAAACGATGCAGCCTTACTTAATATGATGGAACCTTAGGTGCAGGTGAGGGACAAACAAAAACATAAAAAATCATGGAATGAGCCAAAAAGTTGCAAACTCACTTGGGGGTAAAGATCACATGTTCCCAACTCCTTAACAGCCAAAGGCAATCTTTCACCATCAGTGACCTAAAGCATAGATAACAAAAGGGTGATGTTATGCCAAGCAAAAGAACCTTTTCACATTAAGATTGTATGTTAAGTAGCAATTATGAGGTCGTCTAATTGGAACCCAAACCTCAAAATCTGCCCCCACACTCTTAATGTTCACAGTTTGAATTTCATTGTGCTTCGCCCATATAATCTTTCCACTATTGTCCATGCTAGCTACAGGTTCTTCTCGACCAATCTTGACCATAATGGTTCCTTCATCATACCCAATCACAATACTGCACAAAGAAATTGATAAACATTCTGCTTTTACTCATCATCGGAAAAAACTCATTTTCAAAAGATGTTCAACTATTCCACAAATGGTGGAAGGGTTGATCATCAACAAACTAATCAAGACACATACCGGCGTGAACCTTTCATGTATCCAACAGCCCAAACTCTTTCTAGGCCATAATTCAAGGTGTTCTCAAGCCTGTAGGAAATGAAACATGTATTAGAAGTCTGAAACATTAAGGCAAACAGAAATCTATCCTTGTAAATTACAAAGATTCAGATAATTTCAATATATATGCAATGTTATAGGTTTACAACAAAGAAAAATAAAGAGAAACAGGATGCAACTATTTAGCTTGAGCTTTCAAGATTTAGCATTAATTCTAACCCCAAAGAATTTAACAACTCAAAGAATCAGCCTAATTCAGATCATACTGGGCTGTGCATTCACCAATAGAGAAAAATCTTCAATTTAATATCAAATTATGGCTGCAAACATGCAGAAATTCATGACAATTTCACATGCCAGTAAAATTAAAATCCTGAAGCTAATTGACTAAACAGGTGCCTAAGGAATATTTTTCAGGTGTACGAGACTCTAGGAAGCCCATGACACCTACACAAACTAGTCCATAATCTCAGATTGAAGTATATAAAAATTGAAAAAAAAAATAATATCCAAGGAAGTTGCCCAATGACCTGCCAAATGTTCTTGCAAAGGCGCTGAAAAAACATCTCTAAGCGATGTTCTACTTCAATCAGAATGTATATGTTCCAGTTACCATGTAGAGCAGATAATTAAGTGCACATAAAAGCTATCACAGACATGACACAATTATGTTTATACGCAGAAAGAATTACCTGTAAGTTGTTGAATGCCATATACGAACAGTCCCATCCTCGGAACCTGTAATTATTATTGGAAGTTCGGGATGGAAACATACAGCAGAGACTTTTAAAAATAAAAAAAATATTATTTTAGTATATTAAAAAAAAATCACTTGAAAAAACATCATTTATTCCATTCAAACCATTCGTTCAGAAGGAGAAAAATGAAAAAGAAAATGAACTACTGCTTGTTACAAAACCCATATTATAAGGTGTCTTCAAATATAATCATTGCCCTATCAACCGAATTATAAATATGTTAATCAAGCATGAAAAAAAAATAATAAAAAAAAAAAATATATGAAGGACAGACCTTCGCAGTGTGATCGTCAGAACCAGTTATTAGATAAGGTTTATCTCCACCAGTAAAGTAGTCGACACAATTTACTCCTTTCTGATGGGCATCCAGAGTGAAATTTGGGTCTGGAGAGCCAAGATTCCATATCTAAAACAAAGAAATATCAACTAACTGAACCAAGTGGAGCACATAATGCATTTACAAAAAGTTAGCAGCAGAGAACACCCCTTATACCTTTATGGTGCGATCAAGGGATGCGCTTGCAAAAGTGTTGGTGTCTTTTGGATTAAAAGTAACCTGCATCACATAATGAGAATGCCCCTCAAATATCTGAGTACAGGCCCAACCCTTCTCCCAATCCCAAAGTTTTATAAGCATGTCATCAGATGATGACAACACATATGGAAGGGTAGGATGGACAGCCACGCATCTAATGTAATCTGTATGCGCCTCTAAAACTTTTATCTTATCCATTGTGTTGTAGTTGTACACACGAATATACATGTCATCGGCCCCAGCAACAACCCACTGCTTTCGTGCTATAAACTTGGCTGACCTAACTGCAGAAACATAATGTAAACCTCAGAAGATATGAAGATTACAAAGAAGAAGAAAGCTCACTTCACATCATATGCAAATAAAGAGATGATGTATTAGAGAATTTTTTACAATGGCTTCATAAATAAAGCGAATATTATAATGTACCTGGTAATTCAGTGACCTCAAAAGACTTTGCCATGGTCTGGAGGAGATCAAGAAGATTTAGATTAAAAGGGAAAAAATAAGAACTTCAAGAAAATAATCAATTGTAAGAAAATTTCAAGCTCAAAAACAACAAAAAGAAACTTTTGACTGATGATTTGTGACTGTAGCAAAACAAAAATACATTTCAAGACAAGCTTCTCACAAGATAGTCAGCAGCTAAAGTTTATTTCTCAAGCTTACTTGGTCTACAAAAATGGAAAAATAAATTGTAAAGGTCCCCATTGATATGGTGTGATGTGTTGCTTGCTCTCTCAGTTCATGTGCCATGATCAATTAGCTGAGGGGGCAAACAACTCATACCATATTGCAGCTTTTCCTACCCCTAATAGTATAGTACTTCATCCTTGTTCCCAGCTGATGAAAACAAATCCAAATAGCAACCAGCTTCACAAGTTAAGAGAAAGTATTATAAGGTACGGTCCCAATCACATGTAACTTGTTCAGTTTTTCCATAAGCACGTTACCCTCATGCCCTAACTCGTAACAGAAAGCAACTAAGGAGGAAAACCAGGATTGTGTTCTCTTTGTAGTTTTTTCTCAAAAATAAGAACAGAAGATGATTGTGAATTATCAGCACTCTCATAAGAAACAATGATCTTGGGACACCATACCTACTCCACGTTATGTTGCTTCACTGATATAACATGTACATAATTTTTAGAAAATTATCATGATCATCAATAACAATAACTACTTCAAACGTTTTATTGTTAATGCTGAAAATCCTATGTGTAAATAAACCAGAATCACGAAGAAAACCAAGTGTGGTTACATTCCCGTACCTGTGACTGGTAGTTCCAGATACACACAGTCCCTGAATACAAACTCACTAAAATCCTGCAGAAACCCAAATCACATGTTAATACAGAACATCAACTATAAAATTCATCAAGTTAAAATACCACCATATCTACAACTTCTCTCTTCACTCAAATAACTAACAAATTAAGTGAAGAAAACACGCAAAAAGAAGAATATAATTTACCATGGTTCAGTTGGATGTAGATCGACTGACTTTACTCTCTCTGATCTTTGAGCAAGTTTCCTCTGATCCAAATATCAAAGCCAGAATATTACTCAGTCATTTTAGAAAGAAAAAAACTCATAGAATTGAAGCTGAAAATATATAAGAATATATAAGAATACCTTGATTTCGAGTCTGAGAGGCTGTTAATACACAAACATATATATAAAAAAAACATCAGTCCCGAAATTATATACCAGATCTCAAATTAATCCAGAAAAATAAAATCCGCATTAATCCAATTAGTTAACAATAAAATAAGAAAAAAATCATAATCTCAAAACACAGCAAGTCATAACCAAAACAACTTTTGGTTATTCCTTCACTTTTTGAGCAATCAAACACACCTCGAAAACTCACATTACACAAATATGTAAAAACTCAAATTCCCTAACACCAGATCTCAGTAAAACTCAAGACCTAAGCACTCCGTTTGGTCACTAACAAATCAAAGCGAACATCAAGAACCTCGGATTCCAAGCAATCAAACAGAGCGCAATCGATCCCAATGTAACGCATTTGATTAATTCAACAGAGAAAATGATTGGGTGGGGCGAATAGAAGCTAACACTTTATATAATTAGAAGCTTAATTAGAAAACAGCAACAAATCAACGCAGACTTCAATCAGATCTAATGCATCCTCGAACTCGAAAGTGAAAGCTATAAAACGACAACACAAATTGGATGTGAATAGAAAAACGGCAATGGATCACGAACTCACCATTTTTGCAGATCGCGCGAGTTAGAGATCCAGACGATCAGGTTCTAAATTCCGAGAGAGAGAGCGAGAGCGGGGTTTGGTTTTGTGTAAGCGAGTCTTGAGTGATAATATGTGAGAGAGAAATGGTGTGTAAATTAAGGCACAAACTTACGAAATCGCCATTGCAAGGGGGAAGCTACAGTGTGGAGGGGTGTAGTGTAAGTTAGGTTGCATCCTGGATTTTACTGTTGATGATGTGGAGAATTGGACGCTGACGATTTTAAGAGAGGTGTCCAAGCGTGTGCGGACTTAGCAACGTGGAAGAAGGAGCGGATAGGATGAGCTTTGGTGACTGACCAGTAGGTCTTCTTATTTTAGTTGTTTGAGAAAACACCCCCTCTTGTTAAAAGTGCCGCGTTTTTACGCAGGTGCATGAAGCAGTTTAGTAACGCGTTTAAAAAGATGTTTTTTAAAATATTTAAATTTTATTTATTTAAAATTACCTTTTTATATTTTTTTTACTGATTTTTAGGTGTAGTATAAAGAATAATTTTTAAAAAATAAAAAATAATTTTAACATATTTTTAAAATATATATTTAAAATTAATTATTATTATATTTTTAAAAACATTTTTGATATAAAGTTATAATTTTAATTTTACCAGACAACATTTATAATCCAACTAATAATTTCTCGTTATCATTCCGTTATTCTCATTTAAGAGGATTTGTCTCTTGTTGATAGAAAATAATTTTAACATATATATTGATATTTAAATTTGAATATTTTACATAAAAATTAAAATTAAATTAAAAAGAAATTAATTTTGATGCATGAAAGCTAACTTAAAAATATATTTACTATTAAAGCAGTAAGAGTGACAAATGGTTGCACTATTGTTTCTCATTTCATATGGGACAGTCAATTATGAAAGAAAAAAAATTCTCCTCTGCTTTTCTGGTTCATAAAGTTTGCCCTCGGGGACAAAAGATCTTAAAGAATTCAATATATTATTGAAATGTGACGTTTTTTTTTCTTCATAAAAGCTAGTCTATTAGATAGTAAATTAAGCTTACCGGATAATTTTTTTCTAATTTCAAAATTAATTTTACCAACAAACCATGATTTCATATGGCATAATTTGATTGAATATCTTTATAGAAACCTAACCGAAAACAAGGCCATGGTTTTTGTTATTAAAAGCTAATTAGGAAGCGAAAAAACATTGGTTACGATGAAAGGATTCACGGTTAATTAAAATAGTATAATAATTATTTTATTGTTTTAAAAAAAATCAATAAAATACTTATTGGGATAATATAAATGTTTTGGAAAGTTTATTAGTCAGTATAAAGATAACTAATGTAAATAAGTTTTTCAAAATATTACTATTTAAAGTAGGGTAAAATAATTAAATTATCATTAAAAGCAAATTTTCTTTAATTGGTGCTTGAGGCTGTTAAATATTTTCATTATAGTTTTTTTAATTATAATGAAGTTGACTAAAAAATAATTTGATATTTTAATAAATATAAAATATTATTTAAAAATTAAAGTCATTAGTAAGTGCAATGAATAAGTTAGTGTGTTCGTTGTTACGCCATGTTTAGGCAGCATATAAGGAGGATTTTGACGGCCTCCTTTTATGTTATTAAAAATATCTTAGCAGACCCTCCCTTTCTAACCGGCATGTGTAGTTTACATACCTCTAGTTTGATATTGTTAGCCTCTTCTCTTTTTTGTTTTTTTTTTTTCTCTTTCATCTTTGTTTTCACCTCTAAAACTCATAATTTTTGAAATAGCTATTTAATTTGTTTATATTTAATTATTTTTATTCTAATTACCATTTGTTTTATTTTTAAAGACTTTATAAAAAAAATTTCAATTTCATCATCTTTCAATTTTTTATTCTCATTCTTTTAATAGGTATTTTTTTATTTAAAATAACTTTTAAAAATTGAATATGTTTAATGATTTTATCCTTTAGTTTTTTTATCAGATTTAATATTTATTCTCTTTGTTGCTATTTTTTTACCTTGTCAAATTTTATAAAATGATATTTTTTTTCTGATTTCATCATTTAACATTAAATTAATTAGAAAGTGAGCTTTTTGATTGATCTTAAGTCTAAGATTTCACAAGTTACAAGTTTAAGAGATTAACTCAAATTTAGAAAATTTGTTAGAGTTTGCTTATTTTTTCTTTTTCATTTTTTAAGCTCATTTTTTTTTCAATTTCTCATTTAGTATTTATTTAATTAAAGATTGGGTTTTGTTTTTTTCTTTTATTTACCCTCTATAGGATATTTTACTAATTTAAAAAATCAATCTTTGTTAAATTTCACTTTTTTTAAAATAATTAAATTAATTTGATTGATTAAATATAAATAATAAATGCTTATTTCATTATATTTTATATGGTTTGCTTTTTTAGTCGTTTTTCTAACGATGCATGCAACTATTTTAAGTGTTGTTGTGCATCCTTTCATAATAACATTAGAATTGTCTTGCTAAAATTCTTTCTAGTGATGAGAAGGTGTCCACAATACAATGTCGATGTGTTTCTAATAGACTCTTTGTTCTTTTTAATCTGAGTATGATATTGACGATTCATTTTTAATAGTTAATTATTGCAAAAAATTGATTTATTTATTATTATTGTCTATTTTTATCATATTATTAAGAGTCTATTTGTTTTTGAGTTTCAAAAGTATTTTTAAAAAATATTGAATTTTTTTATTTTTTCTTTGCTTTAATTTTTTTATATTTTCATGTTATTTTGACATGTTGATACTAAAAATAAATTTTAAAATATAAAAAATATCATTTCAACATAATATCAAGAAAAAAACACTTTGAAAAATTAAATTACTAGTACTACAATACTAAATAGACTCTAAATAAACAAACTTGTTGGATTCATTTAAGTCAATAATTTGATTTTCAGATTTTTCTCGCTTTTTTAAAAACATTATCATAACATGAGTATCCTATTTTTACATTAAAAAAATTTAGTCCTACCCACAACATAACGAGGACCACTAGTTTAATATTAACTAATTAGCTAATTTATAATTGAAGCATTGATTTGTTTTTTATACAGTTTTACAATTACATAATTAGGACTAGTGACTCCTTTTGTTATAGTAATATATAAATTTTATCACATGTCGTACACCATGGATAAAAGTTAAAGTTACTTTCGAACATAATATATAAAAATATGTTAATATTGTGAATGCATTTCGTGTCATGAGTTTTTTTAATTCATAAAAGCAAACATGTTGTTTAAGCCGCGAATAAGATTTTAAGTCAATTTCTAATATGAAGACAAAATATTTATATTATGAATATGTTTGCATGTATCATTTTATTTTAACTGAGAATAAAAAAAATGTTGTTTATGCTTTATAAAATAAATTAAGAAATATATGAGATGATAAATAGAAAAAGAGTTGTTAACATTAATTCAATATTAAAACGAGAAGTTAATTTTCATAATAGTTTTAAAACATAGATGTATATACAAATATTTTACATCAACTATTATTTTTATTTAAAATATTTACATTCATTTTATCTTTGTGGCTAAATGTTGTTGCTAATAACTAGTAATCTTTATTTTTATAAGAACTTTATATAAACATAGTAAATTCATATAAAATATAAAAACAAAAAATGATATATGTCATCACCCGTGGTGTCTATTGGCGATTTTATTTGTTCGTTTGCTTGATTTAAGAGTCATCACCTAGTATTTGATTAAAGGTTAATAAGGAACTCAGATATATTGGTCTTGTTAGAAATTTACAGATAAAGGATTGGTTGTGGCCAGGAAAGATATTACCACTCCTAGCGCACCCTACATGAGATAGGCTACTTCATGGTTTTGATGTGTTAAAGAAGTTTTAAATATTTTATGTTTTCACAGGATATTAGGAATACGACTTACATGTAAGTTCATAATCCTTAACCGTGAGTAAATCAACACATTAACTTCTTCTTTTGTCTTTGTGGCTTTATAATAATAATAAAATCCATGAAAAAATAAAAACACACTTTCACTTTTACTATATTTTACTCATACACCCATCATTACATGTTATAAAATAAAAAAATGAATCAAAATGAATAAAATGCAATCCAAAAATTACAAAATAAACCCAAAAAATCTAAAGAAATTACAGTAAAGGCCTTCTGGGATTGCATGAACAGTGGCGACTCGTCTTCTTTAAGCACCACCACTACGGTGAAGCGTGGGTTCACCCGCTGCCATGAGAAAGAACTTGTAAACAGTAGGATCTGAAATGACTTCCTCCCTTCTTCGCTGGCGGTGACCTGCAAAACACCAAAAAACATAACAAATAGTTGATTTTAACTTTTGTATTCTTTGTTCTTTTCAGATCTCCTTCTTTGTCTCCTTTTTTCAGATCTGCTTCATTGCATATCTTTTTTTCTTTGTTCATTTTTTCTTCTTCTTTGCTTCAGGTAATTGGTGACAAGGAAAAAGAATGACTGAGAAAGGGAGACGTTGCTGCATGGCTGGTGGAAGGAGATGAAGAAGAAAGTAGGGGTTGCTATTGTGTTCAATCTATAGATGAAAGAAATGACTGGGGTCCTTTAGATGAAGATCTATAAGGGAAAGAAGGAGGGTGAAAGGCAAACAAATCTGTGAGGGGAAGAGGGTGAGATGGTTACCGGTTGTGTTTGGTTAGCGAGAATGGATGGGTTGGTGGAGAGTCAGAAAGTAAGGCAGGAGCTGAAGAAGAGAAAAGGATTTATGTTAATGAGAGGGAGATGGGACAGTGTGTGTGGGGTTGTTGGAGATGATGGGACAAAACAGTGATGAAAGGGGAGAAGGAAGAGAGATGTTCGGGGGCAGTTGTTGCTCCTTTTTTTCTTTTCTTTTTTTCAAGTGGGGAGTAGGTGGTTGGCTTGAAAGAGATGGTTTTAGGATTATGATTTTTTTTTTGTATTCCTATCTTTTTCAACCCCAAAACTACCCCCTTTCTTGTGTGAGTTTGTTGACTTATATTTATAAGTAAAATATTGCTTGGTCCCCAAAACTTTTTTTGTTGTAAATTTTGAATTTTTGAATTTTTTTTAAAATGAGCAATATCAACATTAACT